CCGCCCAGTGGAAATTAGGATTGAATCCGCCTATATATATGAAATGACGGAATACTGTTTACATGGTAATATGATACAACAACCCTGCAGCTAACCTTCCATTGTTTGTTGCAATAAATGCTTTATTGGCTATAAGCCAATTAAGAAATTGGTTTTTGTAAATAACAGCTATATAGCAGGCAGCTGAGCCCCTTCTCCGATTGCTAATGACCCCGCCTACTGGCAGCAGGAAACCCTGGCAGTCCTCGGTATTTATTCCAAACAGTGCGTCAATAATGAAGAGAGAGTGATTTCGTGCCGTTTGCAACGCAAGGCGTAGGTGCTGCTCCAGTTCATCAAGTTGGTGCTGCATTCTTATTCATGTTGATGACTGCTAATATAATTTTTAACCTGTTTTCTCATTAAATACTCTAATGTTTTTATACGGTCGAATTATTCTAATTGTACCAGTTTTGTAGAAAAGTCGTTGCCTTGTGGACAAATGTCTGTAAATGTTTTCGGGTTTCCTTACACTTCTGTTTCAGTTATCTTGAATCAAATTTTGAGTTAGATTTCAGAGTTCTAGCTATTGCCGTTATGTTGTTGACCTGTAGATAATGGTTCATTTGCAAACGGTATTGGTACCAGTTCGACCTCAAAGGTGGATACTAAGTAGCTGAGAACTGCTAAAATCTGTTGTCAAGGTTGCAATGGAGGCGAAGGTGGTCTCTGCCAGGCCTAAGTAAGTTTGTTTGATGTTTTTTTCTGCTGGACGTACTAAAATTGTTATTTTAGTACTGGTTTTTGTAAACACTGCACCATTAGTTGTGTTGGTTTTATACAGCCAGATATGTTTATCACGTTCATCATGGAGCAAGTATCATTCGTTGTAACCAGAGATGTAGTATTTTTAGACAATGTTTTTTGTTGCCTTTTTTCGTAATCTGGTTGTTTATTCTTTTCTTGATCCTCATCCCGCAGGTCGAGAACGACAGTCACTTTTCGTGATGGTGTTAAATTTACCAAAGATTTTGCTGCCGGTGCAACTGCGGCTACTATTGCTAAAACAATTGTGGCTCCGATTGAACGTGTCAAATTAATCTTACAGGTAATTTTTTTCGTGCTGTGTCATAAACAGAGTGATCCACCTTCAGTTTGTGGCGATTTCCAATTAGCCTAGACTTTGAATTCCTGATTTTTCAGCTGCAGAATGCACAAAGTACTATAGAAGTTTCTAAACGGTACAAGGGCATGATAGATTGCTTTCTTAGAGTTCCGAAAGAGCAAGGGTTTTGGTCTTTTTGGCGTGGAAACTTAGTCAATATTGGCAGAGCGTGTGCACAGGTAAGCTATTTGCGAGTTTGGTTCTGCTTTTCCTTGATTCCCTAATACCCTGATATGTCGCCGTCTAGGAATCATTTGGCTTCGCTTTCAAAGATTTTTTTAAAATTTGGTGTGTACGAGGTATGGACAGTAAAACCGAACACTGGAAATTCCTGGCCGGTTTGTTTTTTTAAATGATTTTGAATACCTCAAATTTGTTCCATCAACGTCCAAACTTGCAGTTATGAACATTTAGGTAACTTGGCGGCTGGAGGTGCATCTGGCGTAGCCACTTATTGTATCATATACCCGCTGGATTTTGTGCGGACAAGGTAACTCATGAAAGTTCAGTTTTGTGGTTTTGAATCTCCAGTTTAAAATCTATGTATTCTGAGAGAGATTCTGCGTCCTTGTGGAAGTTGAAAGGCACTATACGTCATTTGAGGTTTCAAAATATCCCATTTCTAAAGCCAAACAGTCTAGCAGTTTGCAGCTGCTGGCAAATTTAACCTCGTTCAGTTCGTTCCACTGCTTCTCACTCAAGTGCACCGGGCATGAATTAGAGCTATAAGCTTTCTTCTCCTATTTTCTAAGTTATTGTAGTTCAGGTTGGCGATTGATATGGGTCGAGGGATTTCGAGAGAATTCACTGGATTTTTTGACTGTCTAATCAAGATAGCCAAGCATGATGGTATCGGTGGTCTTTATTAGTGAGTAATCATATTTCCGGACTTATGTGGATAGGCGCTTTTTTTCTTTACTTTTATATCGTAGATGCACCTTATCTCTCTGCATCGTCGCATTTAAAGTTTTTGTGTCCTAAATGATGCAGGTAGTTCCCAACATATTAGTGAAAAAGTGCATGTAGTTTATCTGATTTTCTCCGTATCTGGAGAGGCGTTCAGAACGCCTCACTTATAAACTGTTCTCCAAAAATTGCAGTGGCTTCTTCCCATCATTACAATATATCTTCCTCTATCGGTCTGCCTATTATGGCCTCTTTGACACAGCAAAGGTTTTTTTGTCGGGCAGTGAAAAAAATCAAATCAGTTTTGTGCTTGCTTTCTTCGTTGGTCAGGTAATTTTTTTCTGCCCATCCCGCCAAGCAGTTCAAGGAGGCTTTCGAGTAGTTCTCCATTATGCTCTCTTGTTACTTTCCTTCCTTTTAGGTCACGACTTTCACAGCAGCAATGATATCATACCCACACGACACTGTACGTCGTCGTCTGATGATGCAGGCTGGTCGCAATGACGTGCTTTATGAGGGTTTTATCCACTGTGCGAAGGTAAGTGATAAAGTATTTGAAACTGGAAAGTAATTGTCGTCATCGAGATTGTCTTTTAGAAGATTTATATTGAAGAAGGAATCAGAGGATTCTTCAGTGGCATGTTGGTCAATGCTGTCCGCGGATCAGGTGCTGCCCTTGTCTTGGCTATATATAATGAACTTGCAAAATATATGTGATTCTTCTCGGAACTTATCTGGGAATACTTCCTACTAGATGCTCTTTTTGCTTGCAAGTCTAGTTGCTGATATTCTTTTCCCATTAGCGGATAAATAAAAACTTTTTAACCTCTTGGACCGAAAGCAGCCAGCCAGTCTGACATTAAATCAAACTATTATTTTATCATCTTCCCCGCCCCCTTTCCTCCCGCTAGTGTTTGCTGCTAGTTCAAAAGGCCAGATAGGAAGGGAACTAAAAAATTTATCCTCAAATAGACTACCATGGTATAAGGACCTTGTTAACCGGGTGGTGATCATCCAAAAAATCCAACATCAAAGACGATTTCCAAGGGACCCCCACCGTTAATAGTAGTCAAATTTGGGTATAATGGTAGTTACGATAACTAGACCGCGGCCAGTTCTTCAGAGAGCTTTTTAAGTTTCTTCTTCATTTCATCTGAAAAAATTTATCTCTATTACGTCAAGATGTAGTATTTATCCCGTTCTTTGTAAAGCCTTAAGCGCGAAGAAAAATCAAATGAACAAAAGGCAGAGTCAGCATTACAGCTCCTGCACTATTACCTGCTTGCTGGTCAATCCACTGCACACTATCCATCTGCCTCCTCAGTATTTGTGCAATCTGAGTTACGGTACCGGATTCCTGATCACCGGGTTTTGACGAACGCTCAAGACCGTTAATCTACAACTAGGAACTACTTAGTTTAAACAAATGTCCCCTGAAACTAATCAAAACGAGAACTCTTCAGCGCCAGTCATGTGTAAAACGATTCAAATTTTAATCCTGAAACTACCTGTTCAACAATGTCATCAACGTCATCTTCAGCTTGTTTCAGCTGTGCGTCAATATGGAGTTGCAGCTGCAAGCTAAAAAGCAGACTTGTAACACCCTTAAAAAGTCCTATATACAGAGAAAGAGTACAACACTTAACAAATAAAAGAAATATTTCCTCGAAAAATCATACATCGCCTGTCGCTGAATATCTGCTTGTGTCGCCATCGACGGGTCAGGAAGACCAATGGGATTCATTTCGGTCCAATCGTCTAGACCTAACGATTTCTCAAGTTCAGTCACTACGGCATCTAATTCACTCTGCTGTTGTGCCAGGTAGTCAACTGCGTGAACAAAACGATCCTTTTCTTCCTCGAGCTGTCTCACTTCCTCTTCAATACCAAATACCTAAAACAGGTTGACTACCTGGTTGTTCCCTTGGAATATTGATAGAACACTCTGAGAAAACTACTCGCTTCAAAAGAACTGAATTACTTTTTGCTGATTTTCGCGAAGCACACGATCGTATGCATTGAGTTCTAAAACCTGGTTCATAAAGAGCCGTTCCTGAGTTTCTACATCCAGTGTTAGCCTATTCAGCAGCTGTTCTATTTGAGTAAACTGCATTGGTTTGGCTGCACTAAAATTAGGGCAGCAACGATGTTTAAAATATATCCCTTTTTGAAAAAAAAAATTAGTCTACTAATTCTCTTAATTATGTGCTAACTAACTTCACAACATTTGAAGCCGTGGATGTCACGACACCACCTAAAGTAGTTGTTGTGGCTACAGTTGTAGAAGGCGCAATGGATACAGCAGTAACAGCCGGCGCCGTAGTTGTTCTTTGCGTACTGTCAGCAGGTATAACTGAAGCTGGTGGGAAACTGGAGGAACTTGTCGTCACAGTTGACGAAACTGAAGTCGTAGGCTGAGTCCTGGCAAATCCAAAAAGACTTGGAACTGTAGCGGGTGCAGCTGTCGTTACAGGTCTGAAGCAAATCTACCCGCTTATTGTTTAGACTTCTGGCAAACAATTTCACTTACTATTTCTAAAACTGAAAAGAAAAACATACAATGCACCAGTTGTTGAAGTCGTTGTAATGGTTGGTGGAGCAGTAGCTGTGGGCAGAGAGGAGACCTGTTGAAGGGGTAAACCAGCTGACCAGGTAGTTGCAGTAGCTGCAGGAACACTTGGAGTGGCCAGTGAAGGGAAAAGAGGAGCAGCTGTAGTAACAACACCTGCTGCAACGCTTGGCTGAGGTGAGGCTGTGGTAATGTTTTGACCAACTCCAAACAACGGAGCAGGAGTTGCAGTGCTACCAAATAACAATGGAGCTGTGGTAGTGACGGTCTCTGAAGTTGTTGGAGCAACTGCTGCAGTAGTAGTTTGAGTGGTTCCACCAAATAATCTGAAGCAACCTGAGCAATCGGATCTTTCAAAAAAACGAAATATTTTGCTTTGAAGAGGTGTCAAATTCTTAAAGCAGATCAGTCAGAACTCAAAACCTCTTGAAAAACAGGCGTCAGAAAACTCAAAATAAATTCGTACCATCGAAAATATTGAAACCCTCACATCGATTAAAACCAGTTTTAATAAGTAAAAAAAAGAGCAGAAACTTCCTTTTAACTACTGCTTTTAATTCGAAAAAAAAAAGTATAAAAACCAGCAAAATTGCAGCTTTCACAAAGCATCTAACCAATTTCCATAAACTGTATATGTATTCTTACGCGGTAGTTTTTGGCACTCCGAAACTAGTAGAAGGAAGGGCACCAGAGAAAGTAAAACCAGTGGACTGAGTGGTTGTGGCAAGGACACTCGGCGCTGCCGCATTCTGTGCGGCACCAAACCCAAAAGGTGTGGTAGTAGAAACTACACTTGCAGAAGAAACTTGAGTTGGTGTTGTCGTACTTGGAGCTTTCGCACCACCAAAAGAGAACGAAGGTGACGAGAACAGCGTGGGAGCTGATGACCTAAAAAAACAACCAAAAAAAATTATCAAAATCCATTAAGCTTCCAATCGACTGGTCAATCATAGAAAGAGATGAAAGCGGATAACTGAGTGGTGGTTGCTGGAAGAGAACCAAATGCATTCGTTGATGCGGACGTCGTAACACCAGTTGTGGTAGCTGGCTTTATAGCTGATAACGAAAAATTAGATGTCGTGTTTTGCGCGTTGCCAAATGAAAATAAAGGAGCTGCCGTGGTAGTGGATGCCACAGTCTTTGGAGTTGATAAAGCATTAGTAGGTTTTCCAAACAAAAATGAAGACGGTGTAGAGACACTGGTTGTTGCTGCAGCATTACTAAAATAATTAATAGCAAATGAGGAAGTAATAATCAGACGTTTAGGTTGCACAAGTGCCAAAATCTATCCCGATTAAAAGCTTGCACGTAAGATAGAAGTCTGAGAATAACCTGAAAATATTTGGTGGTGACGAAAATACGTTCGAGATAGGTGCAGCCGTCGTTGTTGCTACTGATGTCGTTACAGGAGGCGCTAAAGACAGAGAAGTTGTGGGTTGATTGGAGCCAAAAGAAAATGTAAGTTTCGGAGCTGCCGCAGTTGTAGACGTCGACGTTGTTGTTGTCGTCAAACCTGAAGCGCCTGAAGCAGTCATCGCTGACTTCCCAAAGCTGAAAATTGGTGTCGTGCCAGTTGCTGACGTTGTTGTAGTGGCAAATGATGATGGTGCCGCACTGAAATTGTCAAATAAAGAAAAATATTCCACAGTGCAATTAAAAACCACTTGATCTGACGAACAAGCTTCAGCTGCAAAAACACTAATTTAGATTTATCTATAATGGAATTGCAAAATACTTGTACTCCATCATCCCATATTAATATAAAACAGCACTTAAACCACGTCCGCTGATGCAAAAAAGCAAAAACTTTTTAATGAAATTGTACCTTGCAGCATTATTCACCGTAGCAGCTGAAAAAAGATTGGTCGTTATGGGTTTTGTAGTTGACGTCGTCGTAGTCAACGTGGTTCCTGACAGTCCACTTTGTGCACCACCAAAGAAAAAACTAGGTTTCGAAGTAGCTTCAGTTCCACTCGTTGGTGCATTTTGAGCTGTGGTTGTAGGTGCTGGTGTGCTTCCGAAACCAAATAATGATTGACTACCCAAACCAGTTGATGGCTTAGATCCACTGTAATAAATCTGTTTCCACACGAAATCACATGTTTTTTCCAACACAAAAATTTAATAGTAATAAAAATGATAATGATAATAATACAAAAAAAAAAAATAATAATAATAATAGTAATAATCTACGTTTCGACTTCACAACTATATGATTTTA